AAAACTAATCACTTAAATCACAAGTAGACATACATTATTTACTTAATCACTTCAGACATAAAGGATTATGTTCAGTGGTAAACAATAAACGTTTTATTTGAAGTGTAATGGTGTTAATGACGACTTAGACATAATAAAGTCTTAGTAAACCATTGCTTATATTCAATGTTGTTGACAAATACCACGAGATTTAGTCTCAGTCACAAATGACTGAACATCATAAAATGTGATGAAATCATTGAATGTATCATTTTACAAACTATGATTCAACTTCATTATTATCACTAATTCTTTTTTTCCATAAAAATACTAATATGTTATTCAATTACTTAATTTTTTAACTCACGAATTACTTTATTGTTTAGTGTATGTTTAATTTTGCGGTGGGTAGAATTGATTCTAAATGAATTGATTTTGTAGAATTGATTATGATTAAAAGTGAGTTAGATGTAAAATGGTTTATGTTTGGAAACATTTATGTAAAAATGAGCTGAATAATAAATTTCAATGTAAAAATCATGTTTAAACTCAAAAGGTACAAATTGTAGTTGTTAAGAATGTGTGATTAGACCTAACTCAGCCCTACAAAATCGGTTGATAGGATGAAGATTGCTCTCACTTATAAACACATGCTCAGATCATATATTAACCGATATGAGACTCTTAACACCTCTCTCACGCTCAAGACTAGACAACTGGAGCGTGAAAATAAATGGTGGGTGATCCGGTAGCAGAAATCATAGTAGGTGACTCACCGAATACCACATGATTTATAATCTACTAAATTTTTTTATAATCTACTAAATTTTTTTTAAAATCTCAATTAAATATAATCCTTTTAATGTCACAAAAACATGCTATTTATTATATGATAGAGAAAAAATATAAAGAATAAAAAATACGTTGATAAAATAATAACCGATCACAATTGTATATTATTAGATCTATTTTTAGGGATGTTAACTTTCGTTAAAATTCTTACGGGGATATGCCTTTTGAATTTTTCTGCTTTTCTAATTTTTCAGTTAACACATCGAATGTTGTTATTATCGTTTTTAGTTGCTATGTTTATTCATTGTATTTAGCGTTTGTAGTAATAATGTATTTATTCGTGCATTATGTTTGGAGAGTTGACGATGTTCCCTATAGTGATGCTTGAGACCAATGAATTCGGCCTAATATGGTTGTATCTTTGTATTGTGCTCCACGTCCCAGAGATTGTTCCCCGACTAAGGGTAGGATCATCGTCCATACCCCTAATGCATGACTCAGATCGAGGTGGATGTCTCTAGACTCCACCGCCTACGCCCTTGGATTGGCTAGATCTGAAATGGGTGCACTAGCTATGCAGAAATGTGTGTAGTATATCTCATTGACCGATTATATTCCTCGATGTCCCACCTTAGGGTCAGATGGAATGGGTAGTTCATTAGTAGGTTGCTACCATAATCAACTACTCTCCTGACCTAAGTGATGAAGAAAAAATGCAGCATAGACGACATCTTCCGTCGCGGCCTAGTGGACCTAACCAGAGGTTGGATGAAGATCCCTTGGTACCCATATAAGGGGTTTCGGTGTTGGATCTTTGCTCAGAGTTAACTATGAACTTGAAGTATCTTTGACGTTATTAATCATGAACTTGTGATATCTTCATCGTCGCCCTAACTGGTACTGTGTTGGCGGCAGAAAATGGTGGAGATGTTATATTAGAAGATGTTATATCATGAATCCTCAATAAGTTTTTTGAGGGAATTACCTTCATTTTTCGATGTTTCCAGCGTAACTCTGGATCTGGATCTAGGATCCTTTCTCATTCTTCTTTGTGAAGCTCCTAAGGGAAATCAGAGATTTGGAGATTTAGTGAATCATTGCTGAGATGGTAACCGCCTGGATCTACTGTGACGAATATCTGCATTTGATTCTGAATTCTCTATATCCGATGATTTAAGGAGGTTATCAATAGGTAGATCCGAGGTTTAATCTAAAATTGTAGAAATAATAGGAATCAGACGTCGTTTCTCACAGACGACACCACTGTTCTGTTCAAGAACCGGAAATGGATGCAATTGAATAAATGATAATCTAGAACGATGGTGTTAATATCCTTTATGGTAGCGTGGGGTGGACCTGCATGGTTAACACTCTAATACTCAAGTCAGTTCAAGATCTACGATGACTGATCTGAAAAGTGAAGATCAAAGAATGTACCATGCTCTTTGTATGTGAATTAATTTTATACCTTGAGTCAAGTGGAGTGAATTTGAAATGATTGAGTCTTAGTCAGTTAGGCCATTAACCGGTACAGAATATTTCACAATCCTTTTTATAATCTAGAAAAAAATTTGATTGTGAGAAGATATTTATATCTTTAGTAATATGATTTAAAAAAAATCATTATTAATATGACATTTTGAGTTCAAGCTATCATGCATATCTGCATCAAAATTTAACATTTTGACCTTTGGTATTCAAATTTATTTGCGTTTTTGTGTGTTAGTGGAATACATATTATCATTATACAAGTGAGATAAAACAAACATATTTCTCATTTTTCTTTCGTGATATACTTTATAGAAATGATTTGGATAATAATTATTTTCTTTCATATGACTATTTCAAATAAAGCAGCATATAACAACATGATCATTTTTATTATAATTTAAACATATTACATTTAGATGTCCTATTTGCACGAAATGTGTTACTAAAACTTTTAGAATTATTTTAGGTTTATAACCTAACACTACTAGAAAACTTCATTTTAGCTGCGAGCTTAGCCTCGGCCACCGACACCGAGGCTAAATAGCCTCGACAAAACCGAGGCTACTCAAACGCAAAAAAAGTCATTTTAAAGTTTTTCTTTTACAATTATTTTTATTATAAATTGACTTTGTTATATAAGGTTTTTTGATTATCTAGAATGAGATTCAAATTACCTCTTCTATTAGTAAATTTATTAAGTGTGTTATAGATCTTCAATTTTATTTTCTAAAATACTACATTGTTCACAATTAATAAGTTTAACGAGGTCTTAATGAGAAGGAGAAGAAGAACTTTATATTACAATACTTTAATTTTCTTTAAGCTTATTTATTTCTTCCAATAAACTTTTTATTTTCTTTTTCAAGAAAAAAATGGTTGATTTAGAGACAAAAACACGACGTTTTAATTTACTTGATTCATTATCTAACTTCTTACAAATGCCGAATAACTCACTATAAGTAAATTCAGAAGTTATATTATTTACCTTAATTTCTTCATGATATGTCACGGGACTTGGGTGAGTTTCTTCCTATTTTTCAAATTCATCGGAGGAGTCTATGTTGATTTCGTCCCAAAAAATGTAAGCTTTCTAAATTTTTTTTAGTCTTTTATCCCTTTTAGGTTTCCTTTAATTATGCGGATATTTTGATCTTATGCGACATTTATTTTCACATTGGAAGAAAGTTAGAATGAAAGTTGATCTTTCTTTAGTTTTGCTTTTAGAGCTTTGGAGATTGTTTTTTGTGCCTTAGAAGTTCCTCGAATTTTTAAAACATGAGATTTGTGTCTTCATCACTTTCACTTTTCTCGAATTTTCAAAACATGAGATCCGTGTCTTCATTACTTTCACTTTGGCAGTGTTCATCTTCTAATTCCATGTCTTTGGCCATTGTAACTTTTACTGCAAGATTTTGCTTCTTTTTGCCGTCTTCTTCATTCTTAGCTACCTTTTTTAATTTCATTTCATATTCCTGCAATTTTCTAAATAATGTAGCCAAATCCATAAAAGACAAATATTTAGATTATTAGTAAATCGTAGTGTCTTTAGGTTGTCAACGGTGGTTTAAGTATTTAAAGACTTTGGTAACAAAATCCTCATTTTGAAAAAAATTTACTCGAAATTCTCATGATTCACAATGTGAATAAAATGTTTTTCTCTTGTCCTAAATGTTTTTCTCATGTTTCATTCTAAATAATTTGTACTCAGAGGGCAATGCGTTCATTCTAGCCATTTTTACCTTCATGGGTAAGTTGAAGGGTGTCCACATTTCTTTGACATTATCACAATGAAAAATACGCAAAAACTCATCAATGCCTAAGGCAACAATGAAGATAGACTTTGCTTTCAAATTGCGCTACACTTTTTTCTTATTATTCTCTTCGATCCAAATTTCTCTCTATTTGTTTTCCACAACACCTTTTACTTGATGAGTAGGAATAAAAAGATAATTTTTAACGGCCTTTCAAATTTCATAATCCATCCCCTCTACTAAGATTTTCATATTCTCTTTTCACAAAACATACTCTTCTATATTAGAGAATGTAATTCTATTTAGTGAACTATTTGAAGTCATTCCTAAGTTCTACAACGATAATAAAAATATGTTATGGATTCTAACATCTTCACGGTATTAGAAATTTCTAAGCTATTTTGATTTCTATTTTATAATTTTAAAAATTGATAGTAGATTTTTATGAGAAAAAAAAACAAATATTGCTAAAATTACTACCACATTGCAAAGAGTTTGTTAGATGAAAAAATTTGTAAGTGAATTTTATTGGTACCTGAATAGTTAATCAATTCAGTTTCTTTAATTTTAATCATGTTTTTCAGTTGCATTCAGTTGTAGGACTGAGCTTGTTTGCTCAAAATCTATGTTGTGTTTTCATTCTAATTTCAATAAATACAAAGAATAAGTCCATAAACTATTTTAAATCAATCTTGCCTTTGAACTATCATTATTTCTTCTACTTTCAAAGCAATTGAAGATCCAATAGAAGTGAATTTTAGTTACAATATCTCATAATGAATGATGTTTGCTTTCTATACCAAAAATGTTTTCTACCATTATAATTTACAAACAATCCTAATGACATAGTTGTTGCATATTCTAACTAAATATGACAATAATTAAGCACTCTAATCTCTATGGCTACTATACTCTCACTCATCACACTCAAAATATACAGAAATATGAATCTTTACATCACATATAGTAGAATATTTGGTATTGAGCTTAAGATAAAAGTGGACTAACAAGACTATCACTACTTGATGAGTGATGAATTGGAAACAAAGCAGGATCTTTATATACAGATAACAATTCATTGTAAAATTCATTCATCGCGCTTTCGTTTTCGTCTTCCCTATCCTTCTTTATCAAACTCTACAAACACAAACAAGTCAAATCAGTTCTGAGGTATTCAATACCAGAAGCAGATATTCAACAAGTTCAGAAAAGTGATAGTCGCGAAAGACTTTACCTCTGCTGAATATGCGGTAAATATAGGCAAGAATCGTCTTCGACAGTAATAATTAAAGATAAGAGTGAGTACTGGTAGAGGAAGCGTCCATGTCGAAGCTGGGGAAAGTTTTTTTAAAGCAAAACTTCCCACTGCAATGAGTTGCATAAGAACTAGAGAAAATATCATTGAATCGTGTACGATAGGCCAGAATCTCCCTCCAGTTTCGTACTTTGCTGTATATACATTTATGAACTGAGTAATACAAAAGCATCGCGTCAGTGCGAGCCATCGATAAAATGACTCTGCAAGATAAGCACACAAAGAAATAAAATCTGACCTGGTTTCGGTAAATGATGTATGCAAGACAGAGATAGACCAGGAGGAACGGTATAATTAGCGGAGCTAAGAAGAAATAGGAAATACCAAGAAGTCCAAAGAAAAGGATCCTTGGAAGATCTCTGTGGTAAGCCATAGAAGGAGCTTCCAATTCACTTTCTTGTTTTGTGAAGGGTCTTTTCATCAAACTGACAATGAGAGGAATTATCTGAAATAGTTCCGATGAAACGCTTGTCCATCCGGTAGTCGCAACGTAAGTAATGAAAAACGACGCCTACAGTAAAATCAATATAAACTGCATTAGAGACATCGAATTGAAAAAGAAGATTGTATCATAATTATTTGGTCATTTAGTATGCAGTTTTGTATACCTGCGCCGGGACTGCAACAGCTAGTTTACCAGTAATTTCCCTCAGGTCAAGGATGATATAGACCTGATGGAGAACCGAGCCAGAAAATACGGTTGCGAAAAAAACATTCCATACTGTGAACCATTGTACTTTTTTCGATGCGCTCATTTCTATATCGCTGTGTGAAATGTATCCTTGAATGGAGGAAAGAAAGCCCATAACAGGAGGCACCAACTTCAAAGACATCTGAAGAATAAGACTCGGAAGGTATCCTGTAATCACTTGAGTAACAAATTTTCTGCAGAAAGATAGTATGAGTTTGACTAGACAGAGAAAATCACATAAGCAGATTAATTGATTCTACAGAAAGTGATTTTACTTACACGGCTAGAATGCTTTTCAAGAATGGAAACAAAACTTCTAGTTGTTTCAAGTTGGTAAGCCCTTGTACGATTACAACTGGTATAAGGAACAAGATTGTGAAAAGAATACACACAACTATAACCACCAACTTAGAAATCCATTGTTTCATGAAAGATTCAGAAAAGAAAGGCCAGTAAACATCATGAGGTTGCGGAGCTGGCTCGGTAATCCACTGAGTTGGATTGATTGATGGTTGCAAATGGAAAGCAGTTGCAGCAGCGTAACGCGACTTGAAGAACACAAACGCAGCTCGAGCCTCCTTCAACACCGAACAACAATTCACATTAACAAAACAAAATGCATTTATAGAATCTGTTCTTTTTGGTAAAAAATGTTGGAGAAATGAAAGCATACTTCTGCTATCAATGATGCCTCTGCTTGCTTCAATCTCACAGTCTCCTCAATGTCCTCCAACTTCTTTCCATAATGATCTATAAGACTATCTTTAGATTCAAAAAGTCCAAGAACACTACCACCATGTTTATACTTTTCTTGAGTACGATTTGCACGTAATTGAGCAACCCTTTTATACAAACTCTTCGACTTATTCTAGATTTAAGAGAAAGACGCGTGTCTAAGTGTCATAATTATCAAAATTAAATAGAAATGTATCATACCAAAGTACTTAAATTTAATCATGCTTACCATGAGACTTTGGATTTTGTTTGTACGGCGAATAACGACATGTGAGAGATACGTAGACGGGTATAACTCTTTGAAAAAGCTCTCAACACTGTCACTGATACTGCAACTTACCGAAGTTGGAATACTGTGAACTAAAATGGTGAACTGATGCGGCTGAGGTTTGGAGGAATAAAAATACGAAATTCTTTTCGAAGCTATGTATTTATATTCCTGAGGATCCAAATAATTTCTAATGATGAGTATGCATCGAATGATCAACAATTTAATGGTAAATAAGCCAAATTAAGAAAAACCAAAGAGGAAATCCCTTACAAAATTAATATTAGTATCTTACAAGTTTGGTGTGTGATCTATGTAACACCGACACCTTTGCAAAAAGGTGTGTCAGTGTACGTTAAATTATTCATTTTTTTCAAATTTTTATTGGTGTCAACGTGTCACAGCGTCAGTATCGCGTATGTGTTTGTGTCCATGCTTCATAACTTGTGATTACTTACATGATGAAGTTGAAAGCATGTGAATACAGAAACAGCATATACAGCAAAAAAATGAACCCACAACCTGAAACAAAAATCATAATTCATAAAGAATAACATTCCAATTCCAAGAACAGCAGAATCAAAACAGATAAAAAGTGAGAAATTATTCACCAGTTAGAGCCACTGTTTACATTTGATATAGTAAACACATCTAAAGAGTTGCCAGCAAAATCAAGAATATCAATATCTTGTAACTGATTTCCCCAACAATTGACAGGAAGAAGCACAAAGATCCCAATAACCCCCGCAAAAGCAAATATTTTCAAACTGCATAACACAGGTCAGCTTAAATAAGTGCTTCTGCTAATAATAAGCGCTTATAGTTTCTTAGAGTGAAAACAAAAAGTACCTGAAGGTTATGAGACGCATAAAAACAAGAGCATCTAAACCTGACGATAAGAATAATTGTTCTTCGGGAAGGGACCAAGCTTTTGCAACCCAATCAGGGGAAGGTATAAGCAGTTTCAAATTGAAAGGTGTTGTTCGTGAAGCTCCTTCAGCAAGCAATCTTGGTATATAGACTTTGTAATTACTAGGTTGTTTTCTCAATATAGAGTAAAGTGTGAAGAACAAAACACAGAGAGCGGTGTTTATTCCAACGGATGTCAAAAGAGCAGAAACAATCATGTTTTCGAAGAATCAAGGAAAAGCATGAGCGGAAAAAATAGAGATTCTTTGTTGAAAAGGTTTGAATTGATCGATAGATTGTTTACAAGTGTTGTAAAGAGACAAGAACATTGACATGTTCGAAGATTGTTACTCGTGTCGTTTAGTAATTGGTTGGGTTTGAAAGAATAACAACATTGTTTAAACTTGAATCGATCGGGATCGTGCCGACGCGGGTTCCACGTGGTGGGAAAAGTCTACGGTGAAGTATGTACTGTACTTGAGAAACATAAAAAATACAAATTAATATAATAATTATATATTCATACAAAATGTCCAAAACGTTTCATACATGTGATTTAAAAAAAATCTTATATCCAAGTTCATATTCACTTGGGTATCAAAATCCTGTTCAATGAGTATGCAAGTATTTATATTTGTATTTGTTATCCTCGTTTCTATTAAAAATAAATATATTAATTATGAAATATTATATTATTTTAAAATTTTAAAAATATAAAATAAAATTCAAAAATTTTATTATTGAAATAAAAAAAAAACCTTTATATCAAATCTAACAATAATCAAAAATAATTAAAACGGTGTACCTTATAAGATTGAAGAGATGGTTGTCGAAGCTTGTGAGTATGAGAGAATTACTACCCTCATTGCCGTTTAGGATTTTCAGAGTAGTTTAATTGTCTAATGGGGAGACACTTAAATAGGTAAACGGCTGAGGGCTGAGACCTCTCATTGGGCTTAACTGAATGATTCAACCCATTACGATCAATTCAGACACAAAACTCAATCAAACAATTCATCTATTTAGTGTTTAATAACAATAGACCATAATATAATTAATTAATAATTAATTATGTCAATCCATATTTGATTAATTAAATAATTAATCTATAATAACATTGCTATATCATTTATAATCAATAAACAAACATCTTCATATAACAATATAAATTAAAATATATAGATATAAATTAAAATACATAAATATATATCGTATAAATATAGAGCAAAATTGATAACAAGATGCGCATACCCACGCCAGTTACCCATATATATACCTTTATTTATTTCTGTGAATTTGTACTCTACTTATTACATTATAATCATTTTACAGGTGTTCATTAAAAATGGTAAAATTGTCATAGATATATCTACGTAATTATATATTAAGCTTGTTTAACTAGATAGCAAAACAACATTTTAAAGAAATTATAATTATATTTATGTCATTCATTAAAATAATTTAAATCAATTTTTTTTAAAGGTAAACTAATTTAATTTTGACTCTTTTCTTTCTTTCTCTTACATTTTTTTTATTATCTTTTAGTTTTGAACTTATATTTTTTCTTAATTGTTCTAAAAGAATTATTGATATATATATATATATATATATATATATATATATATATATATATATATATATATATATATATATATATATATATATATATATATATATATATATATATATATATATATATATATATATATATATATATATATATATATATATATATATATATATATATATATATATATATATATATATATATATATATATATATATATATATATATATATATATATATATATATATATATATATATATATATATATATATATATATATATATATATATATATATATATATATATATATATATATATATATATATATATATATATATATATATATATATATATATATATATATATATATATATATATATATATATATATATATATATATATATATATATATATATATATATATATATATATATACTGAGTTTAAAATTAAGTTTAAAAACTTAATTTTAAAGTAAGTTGATCAACTTACTTTTTATGGTTGGGATCAACTAGTTTTTTTATGGTTTCATATATATATGGTTGGGGATCAACTTACTTTAAAATTAAGTTTTTTTAACATATTCTAAATTATAGTCTTTGAATTGAATCTAATCTAATGATTAATTAAGTAAAAGACTAATCTAACCATTAGATTAGATTCAATTCAAAGGTTATGATTTGCAGTAAGTTAAAAAAGCTTACTTTTGAAGTAAGTTGATCCTCTCTCTCTCTCTCTCTTTCTCTCTCTCTCTCTCTCTCTCTCTCTCTCTCTCTCTATATATATATATATATATATATATATATATATATATATATATATATATATATATATATATATATATATATATATATATATATATATATATCTTACCGGACCAGAAAGAGATAAGCAGTCAGCACGCGTCGTGAGCTCCTAATTCGCCGGTGGTGGAAAAGAGGATGAGGTGTACCTGCAAGGTACTCCGATGCCAAAGTAAGAAACAGAGTAAGAGGAAGCAAGTACAGAAAAGCTAGTTGTGTATATAATACTTGACCCTCTAGTGAAAGAGGGTATTTATAATGTGCTCTCAACGCTGGGCCAAAGATTATTTTGCATTGGGTTGGATCACCAAACCCAATACGAATAACTGCTAGGGTCTACGTGGCGTAGGAGATAACCAACACGTGGTCTTCATCCTGGTTTAACTGCCCCGCGATCTCCGGAAGGTGGGTGATCTGTTCTTTCAAACGCGGGTAGTTACTTATGACGAGTTCCCGCTTGGGGAGCACGTGGAGATCGTTGGGAAGACGTGTAAGTGTTTCTCGTGTGAGTTAGATATTGGGGCCTTCATTGGGCCCTCCCTGACGTGGAGTTGGGTTCGGCCATGCCCGACGGTGGGCCAGCCTGTGGCCCAATCCAGAATAGGAACCCCCTAAGTTGTTCCTCCGAAGCGTATGAGTAATGACTTAGTCAAATCTTGTGTCGAGGAAAGGATATGTCGTGCATCACTTGTGCTTGAGGCGCTGGGCTTGTCGTGTTGTCTGGGACCAGATGTAGAAGCCATTAATTGTGTTTGAAAGTGAGTTATGACCCGGGTCGACGACAAGGTTGGCCATTTGTTCCCCTGAGGGAAAACGCTCGTCCCGCGCACTCAAGGCTTGCTTTCATCCTCTTTCGAGGAGGTGTTCACGGCAGCGCAGGAGTCGGAGCCTTGTCCTCGACATGTTGGATGGTATGACGAAAGTGAAAAGGGTTGACACGTCATTTCCTCGAGCCGTGCGAGGGGACGCGAAGTGACGCGTAAGACATCTCTGGACGCCACATGTCAGAAGTAATCAATGCCTATGACGGCTATGAGTAGGGTACTTGAGTGCCTACGAAACACCTCACTTTTCGTGCTATGGTTTTTAAATATAGGGGAAGGCTAGTTCATTTGCACGCTTCCCTTGCAACTCAAAGAACTTCTCAAGATCTTCGCTGCTCTCCTCTCATCGGTTCGCCGTCGTCGTCGTAGTTAGCTTCTTACTCCACCGTCCAACTCCAGACTCCTTACACAAGTAAGCCCCCTATCGTTTTTGAGTTTATGTTCCTTTTTGCCGAGTTGTGCATTTTCCGGTGATTTCTCTAGGGAGTTCGTGAAGTTCATGAAGTTTTCGGCGAATTTCATGAAGTTTTCAGCGAGCTCATGAAGTTTTCGGCGAAACTATGAAGTTTTCAGCGCAGAAGTGCCAAAATGTCGTGTTTTGAGTAGTAGTTTTGCAGCACTTATCATTTCATGTGTATTGAATTCTTTGAATAAAACCCCACTTTGTTTGTAAAAGTGTATATTTAGTGTATACTAGTATTTTTCGTGTAAATATCAATAAGTTTAATTTTTTTATATCATTTTTGTAGATATTAAGCATTGATATTTAGTCATTGTTAGATAGAGCATTGAATAAGCTTTCCGACGCTTCCGACCGGGCCTCAAACGGAGTTACGGTTCGAACGTTATGAAGAAAATAAGATGCTGAATTTTTCTACTGTCAGCACTCGCCGGGCGAGCATGAGGCGAGCCAGAAATTCCAGAAGCTGCAGAAAAAGCCTCCTTAGCTCACCGGGCCAACTGTTGCTTCGCGGAGCGAATTTGTCTGGGCAGAAACACATTAAAAGGGGTAAAAACATATTTTTTAGGTTATGTTTTGGGGTATTTATTCTTAACTCATCAAACCTTCATTCTTGAGTAGATTTAGCTTAGAAACAATACATGAAGTGTATATCTTGACGATCCGAAGTCGAATCCATTTTAATCAGAGTTGGCAAACCGTGAGATTTGTGTTCTTCTTCTCTCTTCTTTTTGTACCCTCTATTTGTTGGGGGGTTTTGTATGTAAGTTTATCTTGATTGTATGTATATTTATGGATCTTTGTATAAAATCTCTTTTATAACTCTTTATCGATGGTTATCTTTGATTTTTTACTTAATGGGTTTGGATTTCTATAAGCATATATGGTTCGAACTCGATCTAATATGAACACCTGTTAGATTCTAAACTCTAGACATAGGTTTAGGTCTAATATTCACGTGGGTATCAGTTCTTAATGCTCCGTATTATTGAGTTTCGTGAGACATCACCGATGAGACGATACGATTGATCTCTCAACTTTGCGTTATACATAACCTCTGTTGTGAGTGATACATGATGATATTGACGAGTGACTTAGGTTGCGTGCATTTGATCCATATATTTTTTAGTACATGATGGATAGAACTAAATACAACTCCTGACGAGTTTTCTCATTTCTTAAAAATGTATTTATTTTCTTGTTTTATGTTTTTATTTTTGAATTTTTATCTCAAACCATTTAAACCCAAACTCAATAACATTTAAATTTTTGAACGTTAGTTCAATAACACTAATCTCTGTGGACACAATAATTTCTCGGATCAATACTTCCAAAAACTTTTTTTACTTGCCGCTTTACCGCACCAACATATAGTCATGAAGATTTTGGGATCCAGTTGATAATAAATTTATCAAAAGTCATGATGTGATATTTCTTGAAGATCAAACTATTGATGATTTTGATAAAACTGAGAAGCCAAAATATGATTCTAAAAGTTACACTGATGTTGTGCTTAAACCTCATAGTGGAAATTTTGTTGATGGGGGAGATATAAAAGTAGATGATGATAATGTAACTAATGACCAAAACCCTTATCATGATGAGCAAGTTGAAGAGGTTCCACCGAAGCCACTGGTTGAACCTGAGTTGAGAAGATCTCCTAGAGAGCTTTCAGTTTCTCAAAGATATCCTCCATATGAGTATGTGATGATCACTAATAAGGGAGAGCCAGAATACTACCAAATGGTCATTTCAAATGTTGATAAATAAAAGTGGATGAATGCCATGCAAGAAGATATTAATTCCTTGCATGAGAGTCACACATTTGAGTTGGTAAAATTAACTAAGTGTATAAGAGCATTCAAGAATAAATGAGTATACAAGATAAATTCTGAAGAGAATAAATCTCAACCAAGATTCAAATCAGGAATGGTTGTGAAGCATTGACAACTGCAGTGGATTTGATCAATATTTCTCCTTCTATTCCACTTGATGGTGATGTTCCAAATAGATTATGAATATGGAAAGATGTCTCTTATAGTTACTTGAGATTGTTTGGTTGCAAGGCTTTTGTTCACATCCTAAGAGATGAGAGATTCAAACTTGATAAAAGATCTAAACAATATGTGTTTGTAGGTTATGGTCATGAAAAGTTGGTTATAGATTGTGGGATCTAGTTGAAAAGAAAATTATCAAAAGTCGTGATACGATATTCCTCTAAGACCAAACTATTGAAAATTTTGAAAAAGCTGAGAAGCCAAAATCTGATGCCAAAAGTTACATTGATGTTGTGCCTAAACCTCAGAGTGGAAATTTTGATGATGGGATATATATATATATATATATATATATATATATATATATATATATATATATATATATATATATATATATATATATATATATATATATATATATATATATAGAGAGAGAGAGAGAGAGAGAGAGAGAGAGAGAGAGAGATGATTACAATGTAGCTAATGACAAAGAACCTTATCATGATGAGCAAGTTGAAGAGGTTCTACCTAAGTCATCGGTTGAACATAAGTTGAAAAAATCTACTAGAGAGCTTCATGTTTCTAAAAGATATCATCCACATGAGTATGTGATGGTCACTAAGAATGGAGAGCCAGAATACTACCAATAAGCCATTTTAAATATTGATAAAGAAAAGTGGTTGAATACCATGCAAGAAGAGATGAATTCTTTGCATGAGAATCACACATTAAAGTTGGTGAAATTGTGTAGGGGTAGAAGAGCACTCAAGAATAAATGGGTATACAAGATAAAGTCTGAAGAAAATAAATCTCAACCAAGATACAAAGCAGTATTGGTTGTGAAAGGTTTTAATTAGAGAAAAGAAATTGACTTTGAATAAATTTTCTCACCTGTGGTGAATATGGCATCTATTAGAATTGTGTTGGAATTAACAACTACCTTAAATCTAGAGGTTGAACAACTTGATGTGAATACTGCTTTCCTTCATGGTGATTTAGAGGAAGAGATCTACATGGAGAAACCTGAAGGCTTCGAAGTCAAAGATAAAGAATAGCTTGTTTTTAGATTAAATAAAAGTTTGTATGGTCTCAAGCAAGCTCTGGGACAATGGTACAAAAAGTTTGATTCTTTCATGGAAAGAAATGGTTATGGTAAAACTATTGTTAATCATTGTGTGTTTGTGAAGAAATTCTCGGATGGTGATTATATTATTCTCTTATTATATGTTGATGACATGTTGATTGTTGGTTAAGAAATTAAGAAAATTCAAAGCTTAAAGTAAGAGTTAAGCAAGTTCTTTTAAATGAAGAACTTGGGTCTTGCATATCAAATCCCTGGCATGAGAATTTCTCGTGATAGGAGAAAGTTAAATTATGGTTGTCTCAACAAAATTACATTGAGAAGGTGTTAGAGAGGTTAAACATGAGAAATTCAAAACATGTGAGTACTCCACTTGCTAGTCATTTAAAGTTGAATTCTGAGCAATTTCCTACAAGTGAAGAAGACAAATAAGATATGAAGAATGTTCCTTATGCATCTGCAGTTAGTAGTTTGATGTATGTTATGGTATGCACAAGACCCAATATTGCTCATGTTGTTGGTACTGTTAGTCAATTTCCCACTAATCTTGGTAAAGATCATTGGTAAACAATAAAGTGGATTCTCAGGTATCTTAGAGATACTTCCAGAGTGTGCTTATGCTTTGGTAGTTGTGATCTTGAGTTAGATGCCTACACATATACAGATATAATCGGTGATATTGATTCTAGAAAATCTACTTCTGGATCCATGATGACTTTTGCAGGGGGCAGTGTCTTGGCAATAAAGGTTACAAAAATGTGTTGTTTTATCTGCTACCGAGGTTGAGTATATTGTAGCAATTGAAGTGTCTAAAGAACTTTTGTGGATGAAGAAATTCCAACAAGAGTTAGGTGTTGAGTAAGAAGTTTGTGTTGTTTTGTAACACTCAAAGCACAATTCATCTAGGTAAGAACTAGACGTTTTATTCTGGGTCAAAGCACATTGAGATGCGGTATTATTGAATACGAGATGCATTGGAGACAATTGTTTTCACTTGAAAAGATTCATATTGAGGAGAATAATTTAGATATGATGACAAAGACTTTGTTGAGACAAAGATGATCAACTGCAAAAAGAAAGTGGACATGATGGAGCAAATCCTTCCCACTTGAGTCGCATGAGATTTATGGGTGAGCTCATTCCTAAAGTGGAACCCACCGTTTATTTAGAAAAAGAAAAAAAAGAATAAAATAAGAAGAAGAAAATTATTAGATTTGTTGTATTTGAGACAAACCCATTTGTCATCTATTTAAATGGATTTTTTTAATGCCTAAAGCAACACAATAAATAAGCAATTTATAAGGATTTCAGAGAACATCACGGAAGAGGAAAAGACACAAGTCATAGAAACGTGTGTAGCAGACTTTATCAGTTTGAACTACAAATTCAGTATGTTGTTCATATCACTTATCTAATTTTATTAAATATTTTTGTTGAGTAGTTTTATCTTTTCTTAGAGTTATTTTAGTATACCCACAATTTATGAAGGATTGTTTGAAGTGATTTTTTCCACCTTTATTATTTATCCAAGAAGATTGTTATTCCGTAATAGTTTTGGTATACCCACAATTTGTGAAAGTGTTGTTTGGAGTGAGTTTTTTTCATCTTTATTGTTTATCGATAAAGATTGTTATTCTTTAATGTTGCTATAAGACTTTTGTAATCCCGTTAAAAAATTAATATTATTGCTAATTTATTTTTCTGTTATTATTATTATAATCAAAAATTGATTATACCGGTTGTTTGTTTAAATTGCACGGGTTTAAAAATTATTCCGATTGAAAAATATTTCAATTATTTGAATATTATCATTTAATTTTTGCTTGAAATTTTTTTTCCTTATCTATCTTCCATGAACCAAACGATGTCACACCATAAATTGATAAAAATGATGAATTTTTTTAAATAACCATTTTTTCAAATTAAATACCAAATAAATCAATGTTTCAAATTTATTACGATTTACGAAAGTAACAATGTTTTAGAAAGAAGGAAAGAGGAGTCACCATTGGCGACACATGTTTCACGAGAAATTTATTACAAGCATCTCCAATGGCGACACATACACATACAAGACATTTCAAATGGCTCATGCTTGTATGTGTCGCCATTGAAGATGACACATACATTCATGCATTAAGTGTATGCGTCATTTCAAATGGCACATCTTTTATATTTTATTTTATTTTTAATTTTAATAATTTTAATTATTTATAATGCATGCGGCAATCCAAATGGTGCTTATGTATTATTTTTTAATTTATGCGTCAATCCAAATGGTGCATATGTATTATTTTTTAATGTATGCGCCAATTCAAACGGTGCATACGTATAATTTTCCAATGCATGTGCCAATTCAAATGTTGCGTACTCTTTGGGATGAATATAAGCCAATGCAAATGGTGTGTCCTTGTAAGTGTAGTATGCATGCGCCATTTTGATTAGCACCTTCTCATCTTTCTCTAAACTATGGTTAATTTGATAATTTAATTTAAAATGGTGATTTTTTTTCCGTATATTATTTAAAAATAGTGGTTATTTAAAAAAAATTAAAAAAAAAGGTATATAGATGATAAAAATGTATCTTTTATTTAATGTGATTATACATAAATAATTAAATGATATTTTAAAAATAGGTGATAATTCTTGGCCCACCATATCCTCTAAATATCATTAGGCCCTCCTATTAAAATTGAAGCCATCCATGCAATTTTGTAACATGGAAGAAATCAACGAGTGGCAACAAATCGAACAGCACACAGCGCTCGAATCCTCTGGAGTTTACGATGGTGAAGACCGATCATCATCTTCTTCTTCTTCCACTCCTACCCATCACGAAGAAGATGGAAGTTCCGTTAGTGATAGGGAGGCTACGACGCGGTTAGATTGGGCCAATGAAGGGAAGAAGCTGCTGAAGCTGCGGTTTGAGGCCATGAGAGTGAAGTTTGTGAGGGTGGCTTCCAAGGTTCGTAATTCTGCAATGTGTGCTGGGGCGTTTTGGTCAATTACGTGTGTGGCCGGAGCTGCCGCAGCGGCGGCGGTGTTGGTATGGTTGGTTTATTTTGGGATTCAAAGGCGTCGCCGGAAGTTGGATGGTTTGAATGATCTTCTTAGACAGAAAGATGAGGTGAGTATATGCCATCCGTATACATCTTTTGTTTACATGAAAATAACATATCTTAAAAAAAAAGTTAAAATTTGAAAGAAAATGATTATTTCTTTAAAATTTGTTATTTTGACACAAATTTGAATAACTATGGCACACTCTTGTGAATTGTGTGTCTCTTTCGAGCTCTTTAGTTTTCTCTTTTTTGTTTGCTATTTAGGTGAAAGAAATCACTGATTAAATCTTAAAGACTGATTTGGAGAAAGATATGAAAAAGAAGGCGCTATAATTATAAAAATTGATAAGTTAAGATGAATCGTCACCATGGTAAAGAAGTTATAAGCCATTAATAAGATTCAAGCTAATTCTAAGTCAAGAACTTAAAGAGGAGACAAAGCTCCCTCACCATTCGCATAAAAAAGAAAAATTCAATTCATTTAAAACTTATTCAAAAGAGGTTCCATAATATTTAATTATAGTAAGTGTTTTCATAAACTTAAATTTGTCATAAACACAACTTTTCTATACTCATATTGAGTTACATTATATTTTTTAAAAATAAGTAAAAGGAAGTAAATATCAAGTAATTTTAAATTAAAACTACTACAATTTTAAAAGTAGAACTAATAAAATTACTACAAAATAAATAAAAATAAAATATTTAATCTCTTTTTCATTAAAAATAAAATATTTAGTCTCCTTTTCATTGATTGGTCCTCACAGTTGGTAAACCTAAAGATCAATAGTTTTAATAGAATTTATTACTCGGATCAAATTATCTATTAATAATAATAAGATTTTCTTTTAATTATATTTGTTAAAATAATAAAGTCTCTAGAGTAGCTATTTCGTTTGATGAAACATTAAACGTGACTTAATCGTGAGGTCCCATTAAACATAAGGATCCTAGATGTGGAGTCGGGTCTTATGTTGACGTTCAAACGTTGTTTGTAACAAGATTGTTATCAAGATGGCTGATGGGTACTCCACAAATCATGTTGAATGATATGACTGACCTAGATGAAATTATTCCATCATGCGTATTAGGATAAGTGTCTAAGGACTTAATATTGAAGTTGTTGTGAATCAGATACCTTTAAACAAAGTATAAACGGTTTCTTTATAATCAAGAAACACACAAGGGTTAGGGTTAACAAAGAAAACAAGGTAAAACAACAAGGAACAACAAGGATTGGTTATAAACTGTTATTCTTTCCTTACTCTTAGAACAAGATTACAAGTATACAAGAATAACAATATAACCTCCCCTCTCTTGAAATTAGGATTTTATCTTCCTATTTTTCCTTATTTTCAAGATTGAGAAACTAGCATTCTATTTATAAGAAAAATAACACACTAACCTAATGGGTTTTTTAACAATTATCCGTTACAAGCTAACTTAGGGTACAAGTTAACTTAAACACTTGGGTTTACAAGCAAGGCTCAATCCAATATGCTAACAACCTAGCAATATTGACTAATGCATGTTAGAACAAACTTCGACTACAACACGCATTATCTTCGACATCAGCATGCGAACAAACTTCGACCTCATGCTTAATTCCTGTCGAACCATAAGCTACCCTTCAACCATACTAGAGTTCGATCCAACATCTCACAAATCTCCACCTTGGATTTAACTCTATAACATCAAGAAACTAGCTTTCTTCATTCAACTTCATCAACAACATACAGTGAAAAAACTTGCAATTGGACAACGTCTTGATGATCATATCAACAACATTATGATCTGTCGAAACCTTCAACACTTGAACTTCTCCACGCTCGATTACCCCTCTGACGAAATGCAGCCTCACATCAATGTGCTTGGTTCGCTCATGATAGGTTGAATTCTTCGACAAGTGTATTGCACTTTGACTATCACATTTAACAGTGATAACTCGACCTTGAAGTTTTAGACATTTAACAGTGATAACTCGACCTTCATGCCACAATGCTTCCTTCACAGCTTCAGTTAGGGCAATATACTCTGCTTTAGTGGTTGATAAGGCAACGAACTTCTGAAGTGTTGTTTTCCAACTGATTGTTGTCCCAAACATAGTGAACACATATCCAGAAATAGACTTTCTGGAATCCATACAACCTGCATAATCAGAGTCGACATATCCTTTGATTGCTACTTTACTATCTTCACCCAAGGCTCCACCATAAATTAGGACTCTATTCAGAGACTCATTTATGTACCTTAGAATCCACTTCAATGCTTGCTAGTGAGTCTTTCCAAGATTCGCCTTGTACCTGCTTACAAAACTTACTGCATATGTTATGTCGGGTCTAGTACATACCATAGCATACATCAAAGAACCTACTATGTTAGCATATGAAATGTTATTCATATAAGTTCTTTCAACATCAGTGATGGGACACTGATCTATATTCAACTTGAATTAAGGGTTTGTCAGAGTCACAATAGGCTTTGAATTCGACATACCAAACTTTTCGAGGACCTTCCATAGGTATGCCTCTTGTGATAAGCATAGTTTCGACTGTTTTCTATCTCTTCGGATATCAATCCTAAGAATCCTGGACGAAGCTCCCAGATCCTTCATGTCGAACTCCTTATTGAGTTCAGCCTTCAGCCTCATTACATCTTCAACATTGTTGCTTGCTATTATAATATCATCCACATAGAGCAACAAAATAACAAATGAATTACCAGGTCAAAATCTGAAGTAAACACAGTAGTCGAACTGACTTCTGATGAAACTTATGCGTGCCATGAACTTGTCGAATCTCCTATTCCACTGTCGAGGAGATTGTTTCAGTCCATATAAGGATCTATTCAGCTTGCACACATAATCTTCCTTCCCTTTTTCGACATATCCTTCAGGTTGCCTCATCAGGATTATTTCATCTAAGTCACCATACAAGAATGCAGTCTTCACGTCCATCTGTTCCAGTTCAAGGTCGAACTGTGCCACTGTGGTAAGCAAAATTCGAATGGATATGTGCTTCACAACAGGAGAGAACACATCATTAAAGTCGACACCTTATTTCTGAGTGAACCCCCTAGCAACCAATCTTGTCTTATATCTCTTTGATGCCACTCCTTTGATTCCTTCCTTAACTTTGAAAATCCATTTACAACTGACTAACCTGGCTCCAACAAGTTTCTTGACCAGTTCCTAGGTGTTATTATTATGAAGAGATTTCATCTTATCATCCATGGCCTTCAACCATTCAATCTTCTTTCGACTCCTCATAACTTCCTATAGTCTTTCGGTTCTTCGTCTAGAACCTTACTTGCAGAGATTAAGGTATAAGCTATAAGATCTGTATACTCAAGTCTCTGAGGTGGATTAATGAATCTCTTTGACCTGTCTCTTGCTAGCAGGTAGTCATTATCAGTCTCCTCATCTTCAAAAACATCTTCTGTGTCTTCTTCGACTTCATTTGGGGTACGCAATTCAGCATCAACATGCTCCACCTCAATAGGAATCTCTCCTTGTTCCAGCTCTTCGTCAGCATCATCAGTTTTTCTTGAAAGTCATCTCTGCTTCATTCAAAACTACATCTCGATTGGTGATACACCTCCTATGACCTGGCTCTAAGCACCATAGCCTATAAGCTTTGACTTCTTCAGGGTATTCTATGAACATGCATTTCAGAGCTATAGGTTCGACCTTGTCTTGCCTAATATGAGCATAGGACACACAACCAAATACTCTCAGTCTGTCGAGACTAGGTGGATGTCCCGACCAAACTTCTTCAGGTGTCTTCATTCCCAAGGCAGACGAGGGACATCTATTTATCAGGTAAGCTGTTGTCGAAACAGCTTCCGCCCAAAACACTTTCTTCAATCTAGCACTAACCAACGTGCATCTAACTCTTTCAAGGATTGTTCAATTGAATCTCTCAGCTAAGCCATTTTGTTGAGGAGTACCTGCTATGGTCTTATGCCTTGCAATCTCAGACTTAACACAGTAACTGTCAAATGCTTCATTGCAGAATTCAAGGCCATTGTTGGTTCTTAAGCTCTTAACCTTTCTGCCAGTTTGAGTTTCGACCAGAATCTTCCAACTTTTGAAATTCTCAAAATTTTCATCCTTCGTCTTTTGAATGAATACCCATAGATTTCTGGAATAGTTATCAACGATGGATAGAAAATACCTTTCACCTGAGTGTGAAGGATTCCTTGCAGGCCCCCAAAGATCAGCATGAATGTAATCCATGGATCCATGTGTTCTTTGCTTGTCTTTGTTAAACTTCGCCCTACAGGATTTACCAAATACACAAGATTCACAAAACTCTAACTTTTCGACTTTGTCACCTCCTAGCAGGTTCTGCTTCCCCAATTCTACCAGGCCTATTTCGCTGACATGCCCCAATATCATGTGCTATAATTCTGTCTCCGACACAGGTTTCATGGATGCAACATTTGTCGAACCACTTACAACCTCAGCCTCAAGGGTATACAAACCTTGTTTCTTCACGCCTCTCAAGACTTCCTTCGACCCCTTTATGACTCTTAGGATACTTTTCTCTCCTTAAAAAACGTATCCCTTTCTGTCGAATTCACCAAGAGAAATCAAATTTCTCTTCAAGTCAGGTACATACCTGACTTCAATCAATAACCTTATTGACTCATCATGGAGCTTGAATCTCACATATCCAATACCTGCAATTTTGCAAGATTTGTTGTTTCCCAGCAGCACAGATCCACCATCTTGATCACATAGCTCCTCGAACAATTCTCTATTTGGAGTCATGTTCCAAGTGCAACTTGAATCCATATTGCACTCTTTTCTCGAGTCGCCACTTGAAACTACAAGAACATCAGACGAGTCGAAGTCTTCTTGAACAATGGCTACGTTTCCATTACCTCCACGATCTTTCAGGCATTCAGGGCACACCTTTCTTGTGTGACCCTTCTTCTTACAATGATAACATCGAATACTAGATGTTTCACCACTATTAGACTTCTGTTGACTTTTACCTTTCTTCTTGTCGAACTTACCATCCTTTCGCAAGATTTTCTCTTAACGGCTAAACCTTCGCCC